ATTCATTATAAATTTAACAATAGATACTTAAACACTTGTAACCGAAAAAAATCGATATCCAAACGGTTACGGTCACCGTTATTGATAAAAGGACCGGAACCGAAACCGAAACCGAAAATCAGGTACAGCATCGGACCGTAACCGTAACCGGACCGAAATGAAATTTCGGTCCGAGTCCCTGGTTGTATCTCATACAGAGAAGTTGAAACTATATTTTTCTTTCCTAGAAACATACAAGTTTAAATAAAAACGTTAAATCACAAATTTACACATTTCTTTTGATTTGACTCAAAATATTTGTAAAGAGAATGCTTGTTGATGGGAGAAGCTGCTTACTTTCGCGATAACTTTATAAAGTTGTACATTAGTATGTTTCTTGAATTCTAACATTGATCAACAGTGTGTTTCAACAGTGTTTGTGACTATTTACATTTTAATCCATTTTGACAAGTATATACTTAATTTATTTCTTTAATTTATTCTCTATTTTATAATTTATAAAATTAATAATATAATATTAATAATGCAGAGACAGTAATTAAGTAAAAACTGATTTCCAAAAGCTTAACAAATGCTATGTGCATGTAATTTCATTAAAAATATAGATTATACGGTTATTAAGAGATGAAAGTAGCAGAGTTAGCTTACAAAGACGTATATATTTTAATTTGCTGAAGATTTACTGAATAGTCACTACTTTTGTCCAGTACTTTCACTAATTATTTCCAAAACTGAAAACATTATTTATTTAGTAAATATATATTTACATATATATACATATATATATATACATATATATATATACATATATATTTATACATATATATATATTTACATATATATATTTACTTAAAATATGTAAAATAAATCTGTGCAACATTATATGAAATGTTTTTAGGAATTAGATATTTAAAGAATTTTGAAAAACTTACCACGCAGAGATTGAAGTGATCACTTCAAGATCAATAGTTTCCAAGTTTCCAGCGTTTCTCGCCTTTTTAGAAAATCAATCGCCTCGAGTTTCGGGAGCAAAACATAGACACACGATGACACGATGACACGCGCGTTTACTCTTGGATTCTTCAATCAGGGCTCGAGTTCTCGGCGGAATTAAAATCTGCAAACATCGATTTTAATTGCAAGAGATTAAAGAAAACACTAAGTAGATACTTTTTCTAACGCACCCACGCACACTGGTCGATACGAAAAATCTCGAAAAGCTTCGTTCTTTTGTCATGTTTGACAAAAGAACGAAGACTCACGAAACCTGCGTCATTACCTCTTTGCAGTTATGGCTCAGTGGATCTTGTCGGTTGGTCCATACGCCAGTCTGTATATTGGAATAAATTAGCTCGATTGAGCGCGCGTTAATTAAAAGGCAGCTGTGGAGGCGTCCAAGAGTCCTAAAATAATTAATCACGTACGCGAATGCATGCGGCTTACCCGCCGCCATATTTGCGACTAGCTGCGTCTTTTTTTTTTTTTTTTTTTTTTTTTATTGGAGAATAAAGGTACATGCCACAAGTGCTAGCTTAGGTTTGTTCGGGTCGCATGCTCCAATGTATACCACAGAGTACTTGGATCACTAATACGATGGCGGTTGAGGCAGATAAGTTCATGTGCGCTAACATCCACGTCCAGTGACACGAACGATCTGAAGCACTTCTCCTTCTCTAGCAATATGGGCTGCGTTCCGATATTCACTTCCAGTACTGGAAATCTATAGCACATGTGATGTGAGGTATAGATTTTTAGTACTGACAGTGAATATCGGAACGAAGCCATGGATCCGCTCGAAAATTTGTTTGCTGGTATTCGTATCATAATAAATAATGAACTTAATGAAGACATTTTTGCACAAAATCTTGTGCCTTTTGCAGGTATTAATGATTTATTTGGAATAGATGAGAACGATGACGAAATAGAGAGTAAGTATTGATACAAATGTGATTAATTTTGTTTGATCTCCAAATAATAAAAGAATAAAAATACCAAACAAGAAGATTGATTAAATTGATTAATTGTTAAATTGTAAGTATTCACTTAAAAAATATCATATTTACAGTTGGGTACAGAAAACAAAAAATGAAATTTACTTTTCATATGGAAGAGGTTTCATGCCTTTCCCAGAGCTGTTTTTTCCCATGGTACGTTTAATATACTTGTCCCATTTCTTCTTTAATAATTTAAATTTATTTTTTATGTGATTTTTGGTAGCATTTCTGTAACCTCTTTTCTGGAACGATTCTGCTATTGCGTGAAACATGGCCTCTTTACTTTGATATTTTTTTTCTTGTAGCTTTTTCTGATGTTCTTTATATTCTGAGAAAAACAACATTATAGTTTTGTGATCCCAAATAAAGTGACCATCCTTGTTGAAAGCAGAATTATTTTCTTTTTCATCATCTAAGTCTATATATACAGTTGAAGAATCCAATGAAGGCACGTGCTGTACAGAACTTGTTAAGGGAATTGTAGCTGAAGAATTTTCATTAATTACAGCCTGAGAGTGTATTCTGGAAGAACTTGCTACATCCAATAAAGAATTTAAAGGCACAGTGGTTGTTGTGGTTAGATACTGTGTCGAGTCTGTTGTAGAAGTTACAGGAGTAAGTGCAACTGGGCTTAATTAACTTAAATGACAGCATTTTAGGCACAGCTGAATTTGAAATCACAGGTCTGGTTATCGAGGAATTAATACTTGTGGGATGTGTTATTATACTTTTCTGATTAAGTTCCATTATTTCTCTTGCAACTAAAAAAAATGAGAAACAATTATTACACTTAATACTTTAATTATTATAAGCTTCTCAACAGTGAATTCCTTGCCTGATAAGATCTACACAATAATTTCCACATACTTTTAAATAAGACGTTTTTCAAATTGATCCCGAAACAGGAGATATGTACGACATAAAAATTATTGTACTCGTCCTCAATCGGCTCAATCATTGCGCATGTGCACAACAAAATGCCCC